GGATGAACACAAGAATTGACATTTGACTTCTTGAGAAAAGGTTTGAAAGAAGTTGATTGGCACTTCAGGTAGCCACAAAATAACTGTAATGTACAATCATCCTGAGGCAAAGAGAACAAGTTCCTCCAACACAGGAACTGTCAAGCTATTGCCTTTTCAACAAAATTTCCAGAAGAGCTTACATGAAGAACAGTGAGAAAAATGAAGATGAGGAAATCAATCACTTAATCACTATTATTAGAGGATACATTCAGGTACCGCAGGCAACCTGTACACTGAACTACTCCATCAATAACTATGCTTAAGTAAGTGGAGATAATACGGTGATTGTTTAGTCTGCAAGTGAGAAGTAAGAAGTTCTGAGCACATTAAGCACTCCGTGGATCAGGAATAGGCTCTGTGTTAGAATAACTAACAAGGTTACACAAAACAAAGGGAATCAGAAATGTTTTAGAGCATGTGGCAATTTCTGCTAATCAGCATCTCTGCTGTATTTGCTCTAGGACTGCATTGGTTGTCTTAAAAGGTGTCTTGTTCTCTCTGTTAAATATTTTAATCATGCCTTTTCTCAAAGATATGACACTTTATTGGGTCAGTGGCCTCATCTTGTGTGGCAATCCCTCTATTCTTCTAACACTATGTGAGTGGTGAAACATGATTTGGTTTGTTTGGTTTTTGTTTGTTTTTTTTTTTTCCTTTTTTTAAATTTATAATCATCCTTCAAATTAACTAATCTAGGCTAAATAACAGATCTTTCTTCATCAAGTATCATGCTAGTGTGTATTCCTCTAATTCCATGAGACAGATGGAAAACAAGTTTGTCTGACACAAAATATATTTTCTGTAGAAATGCCAATTTCCTTCCATGCTTTTTTGTTCTTGACACTGTTTTATGGGTTTTTGTTGTTGTTGTTTTTATGTGAATGTCACTGTCATACAAACTTTTCTTCTTTGGAAAGCTGCCTGAGACAGTATCTATCCCAGTGCTGCAAACCTGCTTCTGTTTTATAGGGGTTTGAACATTATTTTCCACAGTGCATTGTCTGAACTTTATTTCCACAAATTTTCCTTTCTGAGTAATCTGCATTTTACTGTAGCTCATGTTCTCTCATTCCCAATTAGTTCCTGCCTCGCCTATAAGGATTGGATCTGGAAGTCTCTGAGTCAGAAACACGAACCACTTTCTGAAAAGAGTGATTATTTTCTGATCTAGTATATGCAGTTATTTGTGATTAAATAAGATCTGGTTTAGGTTGGGAAAGTGGCTGCCATAGAGGTTTCTGGAAGGAATTCCCCTCTTGGAAGGACACGCAGAGTATTGTACATGGGCAAAGAATTCATTAGGACACAAGTTCCTTCTTATGTGTAAATATTGGCTCGCACCAGAATTAGTACTCTACGTTCAATGAAACAAGTTCAAGGATTATAATATGGTAATTTCTAGTTACTGGTTGCTGAGTCTCCTTGACCGAAGTCAGCATTGATCTGGTAGGATGCCTACTGTGAGTACAGAAAAATACCATATGACTCTCTCAGGCCCTTACTCTAGGCTTCTCAATTATACCACTCAATGACACAAAGCCACAGTTACCTGGCTGTGTCTCAAACACATTAAATCCCATGTAACCAGCCCCACAACAAAACCTCAAATACTTGGCTCTGACGGATGGTGTTATAATGAGGGTGGAGCTCAGTTCAATAGCCAATTTAATGCATCTTAATGTTCTAACATGCTTTCGTTTCATATCTAGGACAATAAATGCTGCAGTAAAGTTTTATTTAAAGCAGGTCTGTTTTGCAAAATGAGTCTTGCATATGGAACAAAACACTCATTGTCGCTTTACTGTTTAAACCTTTATTATTGCTTTTTTTCCTGGTACAATGGGCTTTTATGCACCAAACAGCTGTGTTCATCATGTTTATTTAGAAGGCGTCCATTGTAGTGGAAAAAGTCTGGAGGACAGAAATCTTGGTGAAGCGCAAGACTACTCTGTGGGTGCTGGCACTTTTTTTTTTTTCCTGTCCAGTTCCTTTGGTCAGCATGCAAGTCACATACACAGGCACTGCCATGCAGACTACTTGCAAACCCTGTATAAGAGCAACTTTTTACAAGTGCTGTCTCTTATTCCAAGCATTCTCCTCCAGAAATTTTCAATTGCAAGGCAACATACAGGACGCGTGACAATTTTGCACTCTATGATCCTATGGTTTCTCAATCTGTTGCTATTTTGGCCCTCCATTAGGTCACTTTCCAAATATTGCGTACAGCTATGTGTCAATCATTGTCACAGCTCAGCTCCAGGCTAAGCCAATCCAGGACAAAACTGGGAGGAAAAAAAAAATGCCAACGAAAGCAAGCACTGTGTAGAAAACAGTCCACAGTTTAACTGTAGAAAGCTATGTGTTGTTTCAAAGATAGCATAAGCCCACTTGATGCAGAAGCAGCCTACAGTACTAATGCTCCCCAAAATAATTTTACGCAGTTGAAATACATAGTGCATACCCAATGGCATCTGCAAATAAACAGATGTTAGAATCTCAAGAATTAAGAGCATGACATTGTAGGAAACTCTTGGGTGACTCCTGCCAGAAGAGCAGTCTAGTTTCCAGTTTCTGGAAAGAACGGAGCACCTAACATATTGACAGAACTTCTTTTGAGCAACAGTATCTCTAACACCTAATCCTTTAAATGAAAGCTGCTGAATAAGCAGACAGCATTAGCCTGAGGAGCTAAAGGGTTCCCTACTTTCTTCGGGGTACGTTCAGCAGGACAGATACATTCCCAGGCCGTATGAGATAGCTGTGCCCCCTTCCTTCTTTTCAGGTTACCCTGTATTAACACATAGCTCAGGCCAAGATTGAAAACATAGAAGTGTCTCTATCAGCCACATAGTCAATGCTATTGTTGTCACAGGCTGGAAAATGAACTGGAACAAACTAACATGCTTGATCTTTTTAAAATATTAAAATATCTGTATAGAATGAATTGGCTCCCTATTTCCTGAACAGTGAGTGCTCTAGGCTTTCTACAGAGCTGGCATTCTCAGTTGTTGTCACTCCTGTGCCTCAGGAACATGTAGTGAGGTTAAAAAGAACAGAATAAAGTTGCATCCATACAGCTGACAGATGACAGGAATCTGCACAGAAATGCAGCTAAGGGGACTGCTGGGATTCGAAAGCAGCAGAGCCAGGGGGAAGGCTGACTGCTTGGAGCCAGGGCTGAAGCAGGAGCCTGGGGAAGGCCTGGCATAGCAGGGAAATGCTTTTCCAGAAGAAAGGACAAAACAGTTTGGAGGGGAAAAAAACTGTTAAGAAATGTGAGCCAAGTGTAAAGGGAGAGTATGTGACAAAAGCATTAGCCTTAACTTGCAAACACTATAGTAGAAGCAGAAAATGAACTTGGGGGGAACTTTTTTAAGAAAACTGTTTCTCAGAGGCTATTTCAAAGGCTTCCTGGATGCAGCCTCCATTTACTTGTTTTCCTTTTTCTCCCAGGAAGAAAAAGGACCCTCTGTGAGCAGAATGCATCCCAACTTGAACAAATGCAGACCTGAATGGAGTCCTAGTCTGGAGAGAGTCCATCTAGGCCAGACCCCTGGAATCTTATCGCTACCTGGGCACCACAAAGCTTATAAGTCAAGTGGAACGGGGCAAAAAAAATATCTATAATCAGTAATCAACAGGTAGGTAGCTGGAAGTTTAAATTCCACTGCTTGTTGGTCCTTTAGCAAAATCAAAGTGCTTGTTAAGTCTGTATATTTTTAAACTGGGTATGTTATGTTGTGCTTAATAAGGCTGGGTAGATCAGACTGAATGGATTTTGAACTACATACTTTCAAAAATAGTGTCTGTTTTGAGACTGGATGTGCTCTGTGAAATTCTTAAGGAAGAAAGACTTTCTAATTAAGGAAAAAAAACCCATGTATATAAAACTCTGGCTCTTAACTGCAAACAGCTCTAACACCAAAGCAGTTGGGGAATTTGATTTGTTTTTAATTAACAACCCCGTACCTTTGCTGACAGAACATAAATACGTACTTTGATGGAGAAAACTTTTTAAAGCAGAGGTTTAACGTAAATGGGGCTGGGAGGACTCTGAAATGTCATTCTGTGGGAAGTGCCACAGCAGGTCAGATGCATAGCTCAACTAACCCTTGTCAAACGGAGCCACTGTTGAACGCCCATGGCAAGAGCCCCATGGCAAGGCGTCAAACTGTTGCTGGATCTTTTCTGGAGAGGCTGCGAGCTGTGGCGTGCAAGGTGCCACCTTGCCGTATCTCCACGCACGTGAAATCCCTCCAATGCAGAAGTGCTTGACCTCAACAACTTCCTGTGACAGGGAGTTCCACAGTGAATTGTCTTTGCATACCCTAGTCCTTTAGCTTCCTTCCCTTTGGTTTCATTTAGTCTCTTTCTTGTGTTATGAAACGTGCGCAAAACTTTTTTTTTCACTCTGTTTTTGTCACGTTCCTCTATGTCTCTTCCTTTCAAGTAATGCTGGCCTCTAATCTCTCCTAAACTATATATATTAAGGTTTTTAAGTACCACTCAAAAAAAAAAAAAAAAAAAAAAAACTAAAAAAAAAAAAAATCACACGGGGAGGGGAGGGGAGGGTATGTTTTTGCACGTTGTTACGGCTGCATTGCTTTTTTGGTGCGTCGTGCCCCCCACCCCCCGCACCTCTGGCCCCGTCCCGGCCGGGAAATCGGTGTAACCATTTACCCGACTGTCAACACGGGCGGCGGGAGGCGGCGGCGGCGGCGGGCGGCTTCGCCAATGCGGCGGCAGCGCCTCGCCCCGGCCCCGGAGCGGGGGGAGCGGCGGGGGGAGCGGGGGCCGCGCTCCGGCGGGGCGGGAAGGAGCGAGCGGGGCCGCCCCGTCCCGCCTGCGGGCTCGGTCCCGGTCCCGGTGCCGGGGCGCGGGGCGGCTGCCGAGGCATCATGGCGGTTGTGGCCCGGAGGGGGCCGGGGGCTGCGCTCCGGGCGGCGGCGCGGACTCACCTCGCTCCGCTGGAGCTGGAAGAAGCTGTTGAGATAGCTGGAGCTGAGCGAGGAGCCCAGCTCCGGGGTGCTCTTGGTGTAGCCGAGGTCGGGGTGCTGGGACGAGGAGGGCTCGGGTCTGAAGGCATCGAAGGCGCTGGCCTGGTGCGTGTCTTGCAGCGAGAGATAGACCCAGTTGAGGAGCTGGGCGGGCTGGTAGACGGACGCGGCGCTGGTGTCGATGGCTGACAACAAGCTCATCTTTCCCCCCGGGCTCTGCCGGCGGCGGCTGTCCCCGCGGTGCCGCTCCCCCTCCCCGCGCTCCGGCCGGCGCCGCTTTCCCGTCCCTGCCCGGGGCGCTTCCTCCTCGCCGCCCGGAGGAGAGGGGAGGGGAGGACAGGACGGGCCGGGGGCTCGCTGCCGGGCCCCCGCTGCCGGGCCCCGCGCCGCTCTCGCTGCCCCTAAGGCCGGCGGCGCCCGCCCAGCCCCAGCGCTCCGCGCAGCACGGGCATCGGCATCGCCGCCGCCGCCCGCGGACTCCGCAGCAAACTTTCCGCGCTCCCTCCCTCCCTCCCCGCCCGGCCGGTGCCTGCCCCGCTATCTGTCTTTATTCCCACTCCCGCAGGCAGCGGCGGGGAGGGGCTGCCGGCGCTCCGGCCGCGGCGCCGCGCCCCCATAGGCCTCCCGCCCGCCGCGGGGGGCGGCCGCGCTGCTGGGGGCGGGGGGGGGGTCCGGGCGCCGCTCCGCCCCCCGCCCTGCCCGGCTGCGTGTGCGTGGAGTGGGCGGCGGTGGCTGGGGGGGGGCTCGCGTGTGTGTGTGCGCGCGCGTAGCGGCGGCGGTCCCACGGCCGCGGGTGTCCCCGGGCCGCTGGCGGCTCGCCCGCCTGGTTTGCGGCGGCTCGCTTGCTCCCCGGCCTTCCTTTTCCTCCTTCCTGAAGATTTTTACGCCAAACGCGCGCAAAGCCCTTCGGAGGGCTCCTCGCTGGGCCGTTTCGGCGTGGTTTTGGACTCTGCAAGCTTCGCCCGGTACCTCGTCAGCCCGCCCTCCCTTTTCACCCTCATTTCTGTTTCTCGCCGGTGCTAGGAGCTCATCGTAATGTGCGGTTCCTTCTCATTAAATCTCTGTCTAGAGCTCCAGGTTTACGAAGGTTTGCTCAGCCGCTGAGGTTGTGCCAAGCCTCGCAGAGTTAGGGTTTCCCAAATAAGGCAGGCGAGCGGCGCGATGCTCCCTTTGAAATCCATCGAGGTAGCCCTGGCACGGGCTCTTGGGGAGCCTGGCTGCCCTGGGGTGCACTGGACTTAAAGCTGAGTAGGCCTTTTAAGGAGTCGGTAGCACAAAACAGGATGATGAATGATTCTCCTTTTCAGAAGGAGCCTGCGTGGGTAAGATGGTAATTACAGTTCATAAACTCTTCCCCGCTGCCTTCCCTGCGATGAGCGGAGTGGAGTGGAGCAGCTACTTCTCGCTTTCGTACAAACACCGTAGCAATCACACTGGGAGTTTTCTTATTAAAAGCAAAGAAACTTCCGGGAGGTAACTTAAAAACTCGAGCAAAGCTCCTTCTGCTCTTTCCTGAGTGACAGAGGCTGAAAATGAATGTGTCTTCCCAGTATGGTCTTGAGGGAAAAAATGCCTTCCTTACTTAGATAACAGAAAAAAACCTGACCTTTGAAGCATCAAAGTCAGCATATAGGTTTACCATGATGAGGCGTATGTCTCTGCTAAGATTGAAGAAAAATCTCTGCTCTGAAAAGGCATGGTCGCAAGCAATAGAAAATGCAGGTCAGCATACGCACAGTAAAAAATGCTATTAAATTGTCAGCTGCAAACACCAAAGATGGATGCATTTTACTTTAGAGAGCAGGTAGCTGAGGCAGCACAGCTATCTGCTTGCAGGAATTTAAGTCAAAGTGAAGACTGTAACTTTCCAGAACTGCAAGGCGAGGTAAAGTTCAGAACAGCTGAACCAAACTGAACTGCTTTAGCAGTGCTAATATTTTTTTAAATGACCAGGTCCTTGCAGCATAGATACAGTTTGCTCATTTATAAGCTGTCTTGCTTTACGAGTCCATTGGAGCACATCTAAATATGTGTGTATCAGCATGAGAAGGAACAAACTATGCCAGTGTAAAGGGTCTGTGTAACCGTTCAAAGCATAGATCATAACCACAGAAAAATGAAATCAAATTGCAACCCAAACTCAAACAGTATCATAAAGAAACAAAAAGGTGAATGAGGCTTAGTGACTTAATAAATTGTGGAAGAAGATTTTCCAGGATTTACTGGTAAATGGAAAAAGAACAAGAAATACAGGTCATATCTGAGGAACTTGCCTTTCTGTCAGATGGTGATAGTAAAGTCAGGATATGGTAGAAAGTCTAGGAAGGGGAACTAGGCTGAAACTGCTTGTTTTGTTGTTGTGGATGTTTTTGTAGGCATGCTAATTCCTTCCTTAAAGACAATTTCTGTTCTTATCACTTCCTTCTTTTCCCTGATAAATTAAAACAAAATGCATGTATTTTTATTTGACAGCTCCACTGTTCACTCTGTTTAGTAAGATACTGTGTAGCAAATCAGAGTTCTGAACAAGCAGAAAAGATAACCTAACAGGGTTCTTGTAGTAATGGAGGTCAAAATATAGAGGGGCTGAGGTGATACAGTGTTTTGGATGAAGAGTTTTTGGTCTATTCTGTTACTTTTTTTCCCCAACTGAATATAGCCTCATTGTGATTGGTTGGTTGGTTAGATTGCTTTTAGTTAGGCAACACCGTACAGATAGCGGTGGGGCAAGTGAAGGCAGAGTTAGAGTGCATTTCTTACAGCAGCTGCGTTCAGAGGTGCAGCCACCCCCTATAATGTTGGGGACACCATGCATGCTCCCAGATGCACTTGAATGTTGGAAAGTTTTTTGGCTGTAATTTGCTCTTCATAGTAGCCCTGGTGGCTTCTAGTAGCCATGTAGAGGAATAAGTGAATTGAACAGATGCTTTATTTGGCGTACCAATAAAGAGAAAGGCTGCAAATGCCTCCACTACTAAAAGCTTAACCAAAGAGCACTCAGACTTAAAGATTCAGTTGTCAGCCTGGTGGTCTGCTGCAGTTTCTTCTGGAAAACAGTTTCTAAGCAGTTCTCTCTTTCTGGACTTAATACTGCTCTTAGCTTAGCAAAATGCTGCTACCACATTTACTACAGTCCATTTATGTTCAAGATAGTGATTTTTTTTTTTTTCTCGTTATAAGCTCCCTCTTTCTTCGCCTCTAGAAGTCATAGATTAGTGAAGAAGACTGAAGCAAATGATCCATTTAGCAGATACATCACAGTAGATAAAAAAAGAAAAAAAAAAAAAAGTTGTCAAGGTCAATTGTGTCTGTTGTCCTCTGAAATACTGGAGACAAAACTGTCCAACAGCTGCAAGATGTCTTCAGGACATGTACACTGTTCCTATTGATTACACTGGAGTGGAGTATAAGTGACATCAACTATATGGACTATGCCTCAGCCTCACACTGGTGAAACTTTTATTTATGGTCCTGGTTTTGCCCATGTGCACTGCTAATGAAGTGAAAACCAACTGGAACTGTAACATGAAACTTTAAATGATTTAAATAGCCTAAGTGACTTGAAAAAAAGGAAGTCTTGAAACAGGTCAAAGGCAAACACGGAGATAGGATCCAGCTCATTCAGTCCTATTCCCTAATTAGTGGATGACCATGTAATTTATTCAAAATGACCTTATAACTTCTCACTCAGCCTGTCCCCTTAGTGAGCTATACCTCTTGTGGCTGCTGTGTTCCCAAGACATCTTTGCAAGAGCAAGAAACATCATTTTCTGTTCTGGCCAGGACTTGTTTCGTTAACCTAATGTAGTCATGTTCCTGCTTTCAGTGTTCGTACCTTTAGATGATGTCAGCCTTTAAACTCCACTGTCTTCCATATGTGACTTTTTTTTTTTTTTTAATGGTACTCCATATTTTAAAAATGCATGTGCCATAATAGCAAATATCTTGGATTCTCATGCTTTTAGAAATCTTGGTCTGAATTGCTGTCAGTCTGCTTCTAGATTAGTTGAGGCTCCAAAAGGAAAACAGAATGAGTACCCCAAACTGCCAATCCGACTAGAGAAACCAGGTCACTTGAACCCACATGTGGATTCCCCCATTCCTGTAATCAGCATATATGTAATGCAATGGGCCATTCAGCTGCAGTGTAGCTGGAATATTCCAAGCAAATGTTTTTCATATGCTGCAGCAGAGATTCTTATCTTATTATGAAATAATTTAGCTATGCAGTGGAAACAGTGTGTAAGCACTCTTCAAATTATGAGAAGGCATTTCAACAGGGTTGTAAAGTGTAACAGTACATCTGCACTTGGCATTTCTGAGTTATGGACATTACAGCCACTTGCGCTCGCTGTGTAGGTACAACAGTTCTGCTGCCAGCAGTGAAACATAGCATAAACCAAAGTGTGTGAAAGTGAGTCTAGGAAATGGATGTGCTCGGGTATGTTACACCATGTATTTTTCGCACCTAGGTTGCTCAGCTGCAACCCAGTACTCAGGTACGAAAGTCAAAATTCCTTTTTTCATTCTCTAAGCTACTCTTCCTCCTTCAGCTTTGACACAGAGGGTTCTGGAAATGGATGGAAATGAATTTATAGTTCATTCGTACGTAGAATTTTGGTAAATATATACTATATGTAATAATGATTTGCTGTGGGTAGTCTGTGAAGCACAATTCCTGCAAGACTGTCTCAACCAACCAAGTGTGTAATTGGTGTAACAGATCCTCTTGGAGCACACAGGGTTTGCACCTGGCCAGTTTATGGTTTCAAGTCTTCAGGCCTTCCCCCTTGTTCTATGTTAAGACGTCGGTGCGTTGCTGAGTAATTGCATGAAAGACACCCTGGATATTAGTAGCTGTGTGAGAAATACTGGTTTGATTTTTGCATTGTTTTGTAAAGCTTCCTTGCAGGCTCTTCAGCTGCAGCACAGGCTTCTGGAGTGTTCTGATATTTCAGTTTTAAAAGGCAGTAGCTCCTTGTCTCAAGTACTGATCTAGAAGTTCAGTCAGCTCAGGTCTGGAAGCAGTATTTTATTCATGGCATGGGAATCTGTCTACATCACACTTGTGACAGAGAATGTTGCTACTGCCTGCTTCAACACAGCTCCCTCACTGATTTCTTCTTAATACCTTCTTTACACACCCAGGACTATCTGTGTGTTTGCTTTTTCTGTTTTACTCCTGCTTTCCATTAGGCTGGGTAATGGAATGAGTATTTCATTTTTTCAGGAGTATATGCCTCTTATCCATTCTGAGTTGCCGTGTTGATTCTAGAGCCACCATTTCTAACCCTGTTGCAGGAAAGTTTGTTTCCTAGTTATTTGGAGTAGATGTTATTTATACTGTAATTGGAAACTCTCCAAGGAGATTTTAGGCAGTTCTTTACATGAAAGGAATGAACTGCAGGTGCCTGAAGACAAGAGATTTTTATTTTCATGTCCTGAAACTTGGACTTCTGTTTTTGCCTCAGTCAGCACACCTTGTGTGCCTACAAAGTTCTCCAGGATC